TTTGTGAAACCCAAACAGCCAGCACTAAAAAAAAAAAAAAAAAAAAGGGAATCCCCTCAAGGTAACAACTGTGGTAGGACCCGAGAAGCTGCTTTTTGGTCTGCGAGTAGACGTTCCAGGCCAGGCGAGCCCTCACCTCCACATTTTCCTCACCCCCACAGCCCGAGAACACCCAAGTTCTTCAGGACATGACATTCCTCCATTCTCGGGACACCCCGAACTGCTCCGAGGTGCTGCAGTGGGGACTGGACACAATGAAGTGGCCTAAAGGAGCTGGTTTTCCCAGGAGCAGCCATTCCATGAGCCATGACACAGGGCACCATATGGTTTCTTTGCAGCGTTTTAAAAGAGAATATATATAATATGCCATACTCTTCCCAGAGTTTAGAACTGACCTTATAAGGACTTAAATTTTCGGAAATAAATTGTGTGTCCCCAAAGTTGTCTTAATACATTTATTCAGAATTTCAAGAATTACCATTCCGCATGCCCTTACAGGTCCAGGTCAGGCTTAAGACTAGTTCTGTCACAGCATCCATGGCAGTGCGAGAGTGTGACAAACACAGGTAAGATGCAGGTACTTTAGGAAGACAAGTTAGGTAACGTGCCCCCCACCAAATAAAGTAATTTGTATTATATAGAGCTATATCCTGCCTAATTCAGATGAGAATTAGAAAATACCAGTGAAACTTTTCTGTAGTTCAATAGAAATACACAGACTTTACAGCAATTAAAAAAGCACCAAAACTATTTTAATCACACTAAAGGTACAGTGATTAAGCCATCCAAGTGAATCAGGCCCTTTTAGAAAATATATTCATACATTTTCACACTTTGTGGGCAACAAGATTGACGTATGAAACCTCATTAATATAATTCTCTGAAGATACTCCTTCAAAAAAGGTTTATAACTTTATCTCTAAAAATATTTCACACAACTGTACAGAAAGATTCATAATTTAAAAGCTTCAGTTAAACTCTACCCCAAAATTAAAATCTCCTGAGAGTAAAAGGTACAGCAGGCTGCACAGTGAAATGTGCTGACTTAAGATTCACCATCATATATGACTACTTTACATTTTCATGTTCTTTATTCTGTTAATACATGTTAGGGCCACACCTTGTGTGGGAGGAAGTTGCTTTTGCAATCCTTTTGTAGTATTTACTGTTGATAGGCAACACTTCTCGTGGGGAGCGAAGATACGATTGTTCCATTGTGAAGATATAAATTTTACGCAGCCGTATGGCATCTGAGCATCTGGAATATCTGAATCTCTGTCTAGTGTTAAGATTAATGACCACAGCTTTTCTCTGACAGGCTTATTATTTGAATTTCCAGGTTGTCCTTATATGGGAGTCACTATTCTGATAAAGTAGATGTCCCCAGGAAAAGAGAAAAAAAAAAAAAGAGACAGGTTAAGCCCTTTCTCTCTCAAAAGTGGTTCAGCTCGGTACAGCAAAACCATGAGCTAGCACATCCAGCCTCCTATGCTAACACACTCCCTGTGCATGTCAGAGTGCAGAAAGTAACTTTAAAAAAAAAAAAAAGAGTATGGCAAATTGCCTGGTAGCAAACTACCCACAATTATCTGTATTACCCAACATCCTGTGAACATCTGCTTTAAAAGTATTCTCAAGTACTTCGTCCCTGAGGCCACATAATTCTTTTTTGTGGCAATTACGCAGAACACACCAAGATACCCAGCTTAGCACCAAACCTGTTTAACATCTCTCTCCGGTTTAAAGCACGTTCTCCACACAGACGATCTTCCAGGTGTCTGTTTGACAAAACTTCAAATATCAGTAAGAGTTCAGAAGAGTAGTTGGCAATTTCTAAGCTTCCCTCTTGCCAGCCCTGTGGGAAACGGGGACGCTCTCCTGACTCACTGCTGTTCGGGCTCCAGAGAAGCAGTATGCAACATGACTCAATTAAGACAGGTTTCTGTAGCTTCCCTCCCTTCACATTTGCTTTTACAAAGACCATCTCCACTGGATTGCTCAACATGCTGTACAAAGATAAGCTCCTTTTGCATTGCCAGTATCCACAGGAGAAAAAAAAAAAAACATGAAAACCCACCGAAGTTGTTTCTGACCAGTGCTGACTTCCCAGATTAAATGAAAAGTTAAACGAAAACCACCTGTTTATGGATACATTTTAACTTCAGCTCTCTAATTAAAAAAAAAGAAAAAGAGATACAGCAATCAGATAGCATATCTGAATGGCATATCTAAATTGACTTGGATTGGGTAATCCCTTGTTAGGCTTATTTTTCTCTGAAATACTCTACATTCATGTAGAAGGCTCTGAGTATTGTTTTCAGCCTCTGATAAAGCTCTCAATTTCATATAAGCGGAACCCTGAAGCAGGGCTTATCCTTCTATCTCTATTACTTTAATGTAAGCTACAGGACTGTAGACTCCAATTTAAACGGAGTCAGAGAGAAAGCAGAGGGAACCACCCCACACTCGCGGTTTTTCAGAGAACCGACCACATCTCCAGGGTGTGAGGAGGAGGCAACGTTTCAGCCAAAGGTATGGGAAGTCCGTGTGGGCAACGCCAGTGCACAGGCTCTTCCTGCCCCACCTAAAGACCCTCTACGATCCAGGGAGATCCTCACATTGTGCACCAGCCCCTCCACGGGCTGTTCCTTCTTGAGTGGACAAGCCTTTCCTGCAAACAGGGCTGTGCCGCACCAGGTCTCACCCAGCACCGTAATTCCTCTGTTTGTGCAGCCAAGGAGTTGTGGGCCAGCAAAGGCAAACATTTCAACTGCTGGTTTTGCACTGCACAGTGAGAGCAGCGCTGATCCTGCAAGGAACACGCTTCCCATTTTATCTTTGTCATTAAAGGTGGCAGAGTTCATTCAATGCAGACAAGCTGCTACACATACAAGAAGGGTAAAACTGTGCTACACCCATCCATCATTCACAGCTCAAATCTTTGCTTCACTTCATCTGCGATCATTTTTGCGATGGCGAGGGAGGAGGTAGCAGCAGGAGAAGGGGCATTTCTGACATGAAGAATTCGGCTTCCGATATCTCCACTGCCTCCATCAAATACAAAGTCATCGACCAAATTTCCGTTGCTGTCCAGTGCTTGAGCTCTCACTCCAGAGGGACCCCTGCAAATTAAAGGAGTAACTCACTGTTAGGTATTTTCTGAAGTCAGACAATCAGTTCTGTTCTGACCTTGTGCAGGTGCCCAGGGAAACAGCAAAGGCAGTAGCCTGTGGAGCCAAAGCCCAGTCAGGTTTCTGGGTATGCACAGGGAAGTTTAACACTTGCGAGTCACAGTGGGAGATGTCTCGCAGTCATTACGGTAAAACAAGGGCAAGCAGCCAAGCAGAAGATCTTCTGTATCTTTCCTGGTTGTGAAGTTACTCTCCTCCCCACAAAAGCACGCCTTTGCTTTTCAGAAAGGAAACCTTTTGTTCTGAAACAGCAAGCCTTGTCAAACATGAATTTCATGCCGATGGTACGCTGCCCGAGCTGGATAACTCCCTTTTGCCGCACTCAAGCTTTTCGTATTCTGGATTTTCTCCCTGCAAATGTTTGGACAGTTAAACGCACCTCCATGGACCTAAACACCTCATCTTTTGTCACAATTCTCTTCAGTTCCTTAGCATTTTTAAACTCCTTTGAATTAGTTTCTCTCTCTACACAGTAAGAAGCCAAACACAGTTTTATTGAGATTGTCAAACTAAGTCAGTATACACTCAGTAGCAACTCGTAGTCTTGCTTCCCCTCTGAATTTCATCAGTGTTCCGCTTTCTCTGTGAACTCAGATTGTGTTCAGGCTACTGAATGTATCACTAGGGTAAAGGGACTTTCTTTTTTGGTGAATATGTCACAACTGTGAACTTCAGTCTATGGAGAGTGTAGAAAGTCACACAAATATTCATCAAATTGGCCTGTACCACGAGTGAATACAATATAAAAGGCCTTCCTGTAGAGAACATCTAAATGTTTCTAGGCTTTGGCAGCATGTTTTGGTGGAGGAAGGGAATAGGCAAATGCTACAACTGCTGTTGTTAAAAAGGAGAGATTTAACAAGCTACCGGGTGTTACTAACAAGAAGAGGCTTCTTTACCTGCGTACATCATTGACGGTGACCTCGGGGATGAACTTCTGAAGTTGCTTCACCTGTGCGCTAAGGGAACACGCTCTGTACATTTCATTCGCTCCGTAAGATAAGTTTCTCAGCACCAGCTTCCATAACCCACTGTAGAGAGAAAAAACAACGGCAGCAGGAACAAATCTTGCACGATAAACGCAGCCACGTCAAACTAATGCTTAAGGCGGCAGCAAATGCAACTGCGTGGCCGAAGCTCCCATTCACAGCATCAGCAATCCAATCATGCTTCCTACTCAAGAAATACATGTTGTCTTTCCTTGCTTCAAAAAACCTTGTTTACAGAGTTGTGGTGTTGCATTTATTCCTTCTTTGACAATCCACTCTGAACACCAGGCCTTCCTACATCCAGAATTTTTCTCTGGACCAGTCAAATGGCAAGAGACTGAAAACCCACGTGCACAAGGCAAGACAGACACGCTGCTTGAGACTTTTTTTCCACAATCATTCTGAAGGCTGTCACACTCCTAAACCCCTCAGCTTTCAGTCAACGAATCTTGCTACGTCTTTGCAAATCTTGCTTGCTTGCTTTGCTTTCCTCAAGTCTTCCAACTTTTTACTTTAATAAACCGTATTAAGTTGATCTGTTTGCCAGGAAGCCATTTCCCAGTTCCCTGATCTATTTTAGAGCCTCTCCTGGGATCCTCCCCAATATTTTCACATTGTTTTTCAAGTCTCATTTCTAAAACTGAGCACTTGGTAATGGTAAGTCCAGCCTCTCATCCAGAAGCAAGATTTCTCTCAACTTCTACAGATATTCTGTTCACTTACATTTGCAATTTCAGCAATGATTCCTAATTCCTCTGCCATGTGTTCTAGGACAGCTTCCCAGCCCTTACGATATTTCCTTGCACCTGGACATTTTTTAAACACATACTGATAGTCTGATAAAGTTTAATACAGCAATTCAGACCACTCTGTTCTCTCTTCCAATCATTCTTTGCAGGTATTTTAATCACACTGCTTAGGTTGATTAAAATATTACACCGCATTGGACTAAAACCAGTCCTGGAAGAGCTCCACTAGTAGCAACGTGGCTCACCAGAACCTTCCGACAAGCAGCCACATTCTCCGACCAGCCGAGACATGCCTTGATAGTTTACTAAAATTCAAATATCAGATCACATGAAGCCAAATGTCTCGGAGGAGTCCACCCTTATCAGCATGACTGCTTTTAAACACACCAAAAACGTGGCAAAAGTAGGCTTTTTGACAAGAACTAGCTTTCACGGAGTCACAAGCTGACATTTAAATAACTGCATTCGGCAGACAAAAATCCCTAAAATATTACCTGTACGTTACAGCATCTAAAAAGTCTCCAGTGCTGAAGTCAAACAACTTGTAGCCCTCTCGCTTAAAGGCTAGCACTGCGTTAGGACCAAGCCAAACGCTCCCGTCCATTCTCGGCGTGAAATGAAATCCCAGGAAAGGGAACCGGGGATTGGGAACCTAAAGCAGGATAGAGCAGTCAACAAACTCCTCTAGGAAACGTGGAAAACAATCGTCAGGAGGAAAGTGCAGGCATTTACAGTTTATTGTGTGAGAGAGTGAATAAACCAAACTGAAACATCGTAAAGGAGTTGTCCTTCCAATAAATGGAAATAACTATTTTTGAAGGAACACGTGAAAAAGGAAGTAAATTTGCCATTTTATTTCTGATCCCTGCAACAAAATTCGAATCATACGACCATACGACTGGCTTCTGTGCTGTTTCTTTCTGCTTGTTAATTGTGCAGTTATAGCATGTAACTGGTTTAAACTACTGAAGAACAAGGCAGGGCCAAGTAAGACTGCATCTTGGGGAAAAGCAAAACAAACAACAGGAAAAAAAAGTACACATAATTTCTCAGGATATAAATCAACCCACAACAAAACCAATGACACACTAATACTATTCACCAGTAGTAATTACACTGCAATAAAATAGGTTATAAAATATTAGGAGAACCTCACCATTCCTGTATTGCTCAAAACAACACGCAGTTAGCAAGCCAGATTAATGCTCATAAAGAGTATCTGCAGTTTCTTTTTTGTTAGTGAAGGGAATACAATGCAATTGTGTGCGAAGGCTGGAACAGAAATAAGCTGTCTATGTGCAGACACAAGTACTAAATAAGCACAGCTCTGCATGTGCTGGCACTTCATGCGCTGGCACTTCAAGATCTTTCACTATTTAAAAAGCTTGACTACAGAGGTAACTCTGCTATAGTCTGAAAACGAGCAAGTATCAGGTATTTTTCAAAACCCAGTATTGTTACAACTAAAAAATGCTTCAAGATACGTCCCTTTTCGGTATTCAGTGCACTGGTTTTCCTGTTAAAAATACATTTCTAATACTTTCAAAGCTTACTGCAACCACAACACAAACTACCTAACATTTCTGGTAATGTATCACTAAGAGCAGTGCAATCTTCTAACCTTATTACCATCTTTGGCCATAAAAAATTTCCAAAGGGTACAAGCTACCCTCCCACAGCCAGGAAACAAGGCTGGAGGGTTCCCTCCCATTCCAGCCAGTTCCTCCCTCTCATCCCAAGACAGGATCATGAATCATTCCCAGGAGAGAAGAGGTCCAACACCCACTGCCCAGAATTTCAGTTTCCCTTGGGCAACCTGCTCCAGCATTTTGCAGGCAAGTCTAAGTTCATATTCGGGAAGGCGTATTTCAACATATTGCATGAATTAACTAAAGTGCTGCCCTAGGAATTCTCTCTTCTTGCTTGCTGTCTTCACCTTCTGTCTGGAATTGCTCCTCTTCATCACACTCTTTGTCTATATAAGGTGGTAGGAATCTTATCCTTTTCCTTCCGTGTCTATTTTCTGTCATACAAAGCAAAGCCAATTCAAAGATGAGGCTGAGAGGCAAATATCTAAATCTGAGCTTTGGGTATTAGCACACAAGATTAAATCCTATGTCTAAGTAATTAAATATTTACTGTTGTCCCTCATTGACTTCTGAATCCTGCCAACAGATTTCTTTCATAACATAATGAAAGAAGCCAGGCTTTTGTGAGCATGTGGCTATCATGCTAAATGTGTTGTTCTTAAATAAAAAACAAACAAAAAAAAAAGGAAATCATGACTGGCAATAATTTCCCACATGGTACTTCTACCTGTTTATCGAGAATTAACAAAACCAAGCTGTGCTGTCAGAAAGCAACTGAATCTAAACCCACACATCGTGCATCGCTATCTACCGTCCAACAGAAATAATCGTGTAACATTGCCCCAATTGCTGTTGCTTTAGCAGCTCTTAGAGTACACTGTGAAAGACAAACAAGGGAGTACATACCGGATAAATATTTCCTTTAACCATATAGCACTTCTCTGGTTTTAGCACCAAATAATCTCCGCGGAAGGGTACGATACGAGGTTCAGGGCTGCAGCCACTGATCTCAGACAGGCGGTCGGAGTACAGTCCTGCACAGGTCACAATGTGCCGACAATAGATCTCCTCACCCTGTGGAAAAAAAAACAAAAAACACACAAAAATTCAATGTATTTACAAAAAAAACGAGTCAAGACCAGGAAAAAAACCCAACTGTATTTTCAAAAGGAGGCAGAAAAAAAATAATTGTTTCATTTAACTCTTTCCAATATTTTCCTTTATTTCCTGCAGGAGAAATACCTTAAAACAGCAACTCGCTGGGCAGGTAGGACTAGAAGAATCTTTATAGAAAAGAAGCAGGGAAGGGGAAAAAAAAAAAAGAGGATTAAAAAAGGAACATGTCATCGATCCTCAGGCTCCTTTCAGGTTCAGTTCCCTGAAGACAGAGCCTCGAGCGTTACACAAACCCGCTCATTCCGTGGCGCTGAGGCCCAACGTGCAGCGTCACAGACTCTGCTCCTCCAGCAAACCAGGATTTCACCCCACGCACTGGGAGCGGTCACACGACTGAGCGGTGGTTTATCCAGAAAGGTATGCAAGTTCACAGCACATGGTTATGGAGAGCTGTCAAATATCCAAACATCTTACCATCTCAATTAATAAAGTAATTAAGTCACAAACTACTATCCTATTTATTTAGCTCACAGCATTTGGTTTTAAATACTATGGGTTTTTTCCTTGAGTAAAAATGTTTCCATTAAAAAAATGCCAGTATTCAGTGAGGGAATCTAACAGATTTTGGAAACCACTTCTCATTGAAAGAGCAGAAATAGAACAAGAAAGCAGTCACACTAACTTTAAAAACTATTGGGGACAGAGTGAGGCTGGGTTTTTTCATTTGTCTTTCTCTCCCCCCAATCGTTTATCTGTTGATAAAATGATTCTAAATGCCTCCTTATCATTTTTATAGATGCCAAAGACCAAAAGCAAACATGAAAATAGGTGTTTCTCACCAAATGAATAAGTCATAAAAGGAGTACTTGAAACAACAAGCCTAAGAATGTGCAAATAAAGAAGATAAGGGGCATACGCAGTTAAATATAAGTTAGGCAGCAGAAAGTTATACTTTATTATTCCCAGTATACAGTAAAATCTGAACGTGCTCAATGCTAAGAATCTATTGCATTTGTTTTATAACAGCAGTCAGAGACAACAGAGATCATGTTACTGAACAGCAGCTTTTAAACTTTTTTTAAAGAGCTGATTCATCCACAGGGACTTGACAAAAATTCCAAAGAAAAGAAGAAACTGCTTCCTCTTAAGCGATTAAATCTTCAGCTTAGTTCTTACCTTTGAGTTCCTAACAATGACTGGGTATTTCAGTCCTGTAATAGAATTAGACAAGAGAAGGAATTAATAGAATGTGTAACAGAAAACTGGCAGAACAAGCAGCTTGCCATGATAAAGGATTCTTCCACTCAAGTATCTTCAAACTATGAAGCAACTACTGTTGGACACAATTGACCCTGTCGGACTTTACTGTTTATGAGTTAATTGGGGTTTTTTTATTCTCCCAGATGTGTACCAGCATAGATCCAGCCTGACTCCCAGAATAAACAAAAAGCACTATCACAAGAAGACACATGGAATATTCAGCTAAATCTGATTTTTATAGGGGAGAACAACCTTCTTCCTCAATTTAACTATCAATTTCTTCCATCCGCTTTAAATGGTTTAGCTGAAGGATGGGGAGGAGAAATAAAAAAAAGGAAGAAAGGGAAAAAGTGAGCTTGCTCATTACTCTCACTAAGATAATTTTGCCTTTTGTCTCACCTCTGAGACAGTAAAGTTCAGAAAGGTCAATTCAGTTTAAACAAACGTGTTTTGAACAAAATCTTTGGCAGGGCTGTAGGAAATAAGAAGGCAAAACACTACCTTACCATCTTCACTTTCTGAAGAACTTTCTCTAGCCATCTCCATGTTTGTAACTTCAAAATCGGTCAAGATCGTCCCACCTGCTTCCCGGAAGTCTTCAGCGTAGGACTGGGCCACTTGTTTATAATCCACAATGCCAGTATACGGAGAATCAAGGGCCATCAGACCCTGAAAGAGCATTGAGATACAGAGTGAAGCCTGTGCATGGACTTTGGTCTTTGATGGAGAATATTTCATGTGGAATAACGTGCATCGCCACTGAGAAGGGAGGACTGCTGACACCCCAGCCCTAGCTGCTCATTCCTAGTCTCACCTCATGATAGCCACAGCAGTTGTGTTCACTGACAACTAATATAGCAAGAACTACTTAGCGATGGATTACAGTGTAACTACAGCACAGCAAGTCTCCTCTACAGAATGCTAAATAACAAACAGGTTTACCTAACCTTGACCTGAGCTAATATATACTTATTTTTCACCACGTGCTATGCGATTCTGCCTTCAAATGGACACTTGGGCTCTCCACCCGATGCACTGCTGTTGCCAACGCCTCCTGCAATGCTGACGGACGTCACCTCAACCCTTACTGCATTGCACGTCACAGAGAAAAGTCTCGTCTGAGTTAGGCAACAGCCCATACTTGTCCCAGCAGAAAGCAAGGCTCAAGTCCAGTCTGCAGCTAGAATTTTTAAAGGTTCTCAGGTTTACTATCTTTTTAGCAAAAAGGCTCCATTTCTCACATCGTTTTTATCATCACAGTATTTTCCTAGTTCAGTCTAAAAAATAAGGACAGTATCTCAGGGAGATCTTGCGAGTGTAACTACACCAAAAGAGCATCAGCTACAAGAGCAGAGGGCGTTTACAGGCCCGAGACAACCAGGAAGGCTGGTAAAGCTGCATCTTACACAGAATCTTTCTCTCTGCTTGAGGTACAGTGCAATGTTTTACAAAATCATCCGAATTCCCTTTGGCTTACGAGCTGAGAGCTCAGGAAACCAAAGCAAATTAACTAAGACCCATCTGAATCTACTCATTTGCAGAAGTAAAGGCTCAGCTGGATCTTGAACATGCAAATAATGTTTTAAGGAGCAGATACAAAATGTTTAACAGAAGCAAAGATAAAAATTATTCCTCTCCAGAAAATTTTTGTCTGTACCTACGACTGCTCATATAGCTACACCAATAGCAGGCTGCCAGACGAAACAGCATGGAGAATTTCTGTCCAGGTTTCCCTTTCAATCAAAGATATACTAAACAACAACAAATCTGCATTCTACAAACTACACACTTTCGTCCTCCTGTGAAAATAAACAAGCTGAGAAGTGCTATATAACCATCACATGCATGGATTGAAACTGGCCTGACCCAAATCCACACTTAGAGATGGGAAGGAATTTTCATTGCTGCACTATCAAGCTTTACTGCAAGTTAAAGAATTTTAGTGGAAAGGAGCAGAATCACCTCAGCACAAACTCATGTTACAGTTCTAAGCCAGGCAAAGGAAAGTCTGCCTGTGAACCACAAAAACGTACATGCAAGCAAGCATCTGCAATGAGAAGGGAAAAAGCCTCAAAATCATGTGTTGCCATTGGTGAAAGAACTAGTTTAGTGGGTTTTTTTCTGAGCATAAACACCAGGGAGTGCACATCTGTGTAAAGCTGAGAAAAGGATCAAGTTTGAACAACTTGCAGGCTCTGTCCGTTCACCTATAAATTCAGTGCCTATGAAGGCACTGCAGAGACACCTACTTTGACTCAAATAATTCCAATTCCTTTTGCAGGCTGCCAGTGGAATGGATTTCCTGCTCTCCAATCGGTGCATGCTTGCCCTTACGAGACAGCCAGCATGTCATCTGCAGCGAGTGCAGCAGAAGCAATTTGACTTCAGCACACGGAGAACTGACAAGCTACAAACTGACAGGCAAGAGAAGGAGACCAGGTCAGCAGGAGAAACCTGGGGTGAAAGGAAGTGTCACCGGAAAAGATTCTGCAGGAGCACCTTATGCTGAGTTAGACCTGCTCTGAAGTAACGGCAAATGCATATGAAGGATTGGGCTAAAAAGTTCCAGAAAGAAATAGATTACATTTATTTTTGTTTACAATTACTTTTCTTCTGGCTTTTCAGGCCCTTTTCAACTTGTCATCCACAAAAATAACCTAAAGGCTGGAAACATATTTACATGAAATTAAAAAACAATGTCACCTGAGAAACTAAGGTATTACACGCCAAATAAAAACAAGCAAATCCCTTACCCTACAGAAGGGTTCTTTTGCTTGTATCTCCTTTGCTCCAATCAGCTTCAGGCCTCGGACGTTGTTCTGCAGCCCTCTTTCATACAGAGCTTTGAGTCTTGGAATTTCATCTTGTTCAACGGCTACAATCAGCTTCAGAAAAAGATAACAAGGCACACCAGTGAGCAAAGCATACAAGGCCAGTTTGGGTTTGGCACCAAGCCCAAGCTAACAAGCAAGCAAGGGTGAATGAGTGAACAGTGAATTATATAATTCGGGGGGGGGGGAAATGTGTTTTCTGCCATTAGTTGCACAAGATTCTGTAAATACCTCTCACTACTGAGAAAACACTATAATAAATTAAGGAGAGGGAAAAACAAATGTTAAATTGCAGTTTGAGTTACTATAAATGGATATACCATGAGACTACAGATCTCAGCGTGAAAGAAGAGAATATGATTTTAAAGAGTCACTGGGATGCTTTCAAAAATAAATCTTAATCCACAATGTACAAATTTCAAACAGTCTCAATTTGAGAGCAAGGAGACGTGTTCTGACCTGGTGTCCAAACTGAATTGTACCAGCTTTGCTTCATTTAGCTCATCCCAAGAGCTTTATCCAGGCTATGAATTATCTGTGCCAAGTTTGCACAGACCGTACCACTTGCAGGTCCAGCTCAGGTCTGGCAACAGCGATGCCTTTGCGTTGAGAATGCAACGAGTTCTCCAGGCCTGGGGCTGCTTTATGTACAGCATTAATAACACCAGAACAAATGCTGCCGGGGAAAGCCATGTGGAAGCACAGAAATTCAGTGTCAGCAAAGGACCAACAACGGTGCCTGGTCAATGGCAGCCCTGCCCAAGCTCAAATTGGCTCCTCCGGAGCAATTCTGCTGTTGTCTCGGTGCTTTTTGTCGAGAGCAGGTTTGTAACTTCAGGTGCATTGCTGCACAAATCCACAGTGCCATCTTGTGACCGGCGCTGCAGTGCAGGGAGCACAACGGGAACGCAACCGGGTCAGGAAAATCACCGCCTGCGCTGGTGCAGGGTCCATCACGGTCACATCCTGAGATTTCTGCACCCCAGAGCCTGGGGGAGATCCGCACCCAGCTCCCAGGTGCTGCTGAGCTTGCGGGCCTGGATGCGATGCTTAGCACGTCTTACAGGGTATGTGGCACTTTCAAGGGAAAAGCACGGGCTGTCCAGGACTGTAGAAACACTGAATCATTATGGTTGGAAAAGACCTTCAAAATCATCAGGTCCAACTGTTACCTAACTCTACCGGGTCCATTTCTAAACCACGTCCCCGAGCACCACATCTAGATGGTTTTTAAATACATTCAGGGGATGGCGATTGAACCAGTTCCCTGGGCAGCCCTTTGATAACACTTTCAGTGCAGTTTTTCCCTAATGTCTAACCTAAATTTCCCCCGGCGTAACTTGAAGCCATTTCCTCCTGTCCTATTGCTTGTTACTTTGGAGAAGAGACCAACACCCATCTCACTACAACCTCCTGTCAGGTAGCTGCAAAGAGCAGCAAGGTCTCCCTTCAGCCTCCTTTTCTTTATACTAAACCATCGCAGTTTCCTCAGCTGCTCCTCATCAGAGTGGTTCTCCAGACCCTTCCCCAGCTTTGTTGTCCTTCTCTGGACCCTCTCTAGCACCTCAATGTCTTTCTTATACTGCGACACTCAAATGCTTATGAGCAACCTGGAAAGAGGTAACCAGAGTGGTGAGAAAAAGGTTTTGAAGTGGCTCAAGGCGGTTCAGAGAAGAGCCGACTGTAAAGAACTGCAAAGGGACCTTCTCAGATTAACCAGCAGCTAACAAGCCAATTGATGAAATTCAATGCAGGTAAATGTGAAACAAAGATCATGGAAAAAGCAATCTTAGCCTCATGTATAAAGTGACAGAATCCAAGTTGAAAGCTATCACTCCAGATCAAGATCTTGGGGTTAGGACAGACAATCCTACGGAAACATCAACCCAGTGCTTAGTGAGAGCTGAAAAGTCCTAACTTGAATGTTAGGAACAGCTAGGAAAAGGCTACAGGATAATACAGAGAACTCTACTATTTCACCACAAAAATCCAGAATCTGACCACACCTTGAATGCTGTGCGCAGTCGTGGTCCTCATCTTGCATCAAAGATGCACTAAACTTGAACCTGTTCAGAGAATGAGGACAGGGTGGAGAGTCACGAAAGAGCTACGCTAGAGGAATGACTGAGCAGACTACGACTCACCAGCTGGAAGGGACAACTTTGGGAGAGGAGGGGCTGTAAAATGATGTGCGACCTGGACAGTGTGAGCACAGATCAACTGTTCACCACCTCTTCCAACACAAGGGACAGGGGCCAGCAGATGGAAGCTTGTAGGAGGCCAGTTTCAAAATGCTGTTAACTCTTCATGCAGCAGGTTGTTGATCTCTGGAACCGCTCAAAGTGTGCTCTGATGCAAAAGTTTTTAATTGAAAAACATTTGACAAGAAATCCACTCCGGGTCACCACAGACAAAACAGATCAGGCTCAGAAAACGACCTGAGCTGAAAACAGTTGGAAGCTGGGAGGGATAATAATTTGCTTCTCCTGTTCTCATTCCTTCCTGTGTCTCTGTTTGCAGACACCTCCAGAAACAAAGGGTTGGGTAGACCCCAAGCTGAATCAGTTCAGCCACCCTTCTGGCCCAGCATTTCAGGCTGTGTTAGGTGGGTGTAACATGGCATAAACACTGGGTGACCTCTGGAGCTGTTTTCAAGTCGCCATGTCTTTTCAGAGCCTGATATGCCAACAAGTACTACACGCATACACAAAGAGCTTTCATGTTCCTTGGAGCTACACAGGTGCCCCCCACAGGGCTTGGCTTCCACCATGACCTGGCGTACTTCAGCTCAGTCCACAGATGAGGTGAATTTATTGTTTAGACCCAGAAAAGAAACTGATGTGAGTTGCTGGAAGAAAGAAAAAAAAAGGCATATCCATTCTGAATGTACCAAGTTTTGCAGAAACACACCTCTCCAGAGAAACATCATAGCATTGTAACACACGTTACACAGCCTCGGTTTGCAAAGGTCAAAGTAAGATCACGCCGCAGTTCCCGTACCTTCCCGCACTGTTTATATGGAATTCCCTTCTGGTCACAGTACTCGTAGCAGAGGGCTGCGCCCTGCACACACAACTTAGCTTTCAGAGAGCCAGGTTGGTAGTAAATTCCACTGTGAATAACGCCACTGTTATGTCCGCTCTGGTGATGAGCTAAATAGAAAGAAAAATACATTATTTAAATATGTGTTCCCATGATTGGCTCATACCTTGCTGTAATCAAATTTAAGTTTTAAGGAGCTAATTGCTGAATGAATAACTAATCACCATTTTAATTAAATTAGTTTATTGATTTATATCAGGATAAGGAACATAAAATCTTACCCATGCTACGAAATCACAGATTTCTAGCGTTGGCTAGAGCTAGAACTGGTACAAGTTGCAAAACTGTCAGACAATGTATCGTACTTGTCAAAGCCAGACCTATAGCACTGCACCTGCACTTTAATAATAATACCAGCATATTTCACTTAGACAGATCAATACACGCATATTTCACGCGGGCATGCCTCCCTACCTCCCTATTTTGTGCCTTGTGATCAAATGTGGTCTCACCACAATGACCAACGATTGTATGGAAATAAGATATAGGAATATTGATAAGGGTTGAACCAATCATTGTAAAGGTCAAAGTTAATAGCGGACACAGTACGCATGTTTATGTTAAAATATGTTAAAGATCATGACTTTGCACAAAAAGTGTGTAACTAGGCTGAATTTTTGTAATATACCCAAAGCATTAGGTGATTCCCAGGCTTCCGCAGCGCTGCAATAAAGAAGTGCCAGCTTATCTACGTGTAAATAAATTTTGTCGTTTTTGCGACCTTTCCCTTTGAAAACAGCAACAACCTCAGTTACTGCAGCTGTCAGAAGAGCGGAACAATTGGGGAGATCCTGCCTGAAATCAGCATTACAACAAGAGATGCTCAAACAAAGTAACCGCACAGCAAACACAACTCCTCCCTTGGTCTCAAAAGTCTACAAAAATACTGACATAGCAAGACATACTTAATAATAAATCATGGGGAAAAAAAATCAGAAGTTTTTCCTCAAGGAACTTCAACTGTAGGCCAATCAGTTCAAATTTTCTACACGTTCAAATTAATTTTAAGAAATTCAAATTTTAACATGAAAGGCATCCTTTTTAACCTGATATTATGTCTGTGCGATGTCTGAGTGACTGCCTACCTGCACAAGGACTTGGTGGGAAAAAACTGCTTATAACGAACCGGTGCTCATCCTCCAGCGAGCCAGAAAAGCTTTCAAATAACAGGGCTCACTCTTATTTCAAAGCCAGGACAGATGCCCAGGTAGAGAGCACTCCAAGACTGCCCATGGCAGGCAACAGGGGAGCTGTGGCAGCTGACCCTGGCTAACGCTGCCTCACTAACGAGCAGCATCTTCACAGTTACCCCCGTGACACTTCTCTACCTTTGACCTCTCATGTGAAGGGCAGCACCTTGCACAGCAAACCCAGGGAAATCCAGAAACCCGGGACAAATGGCTGCGGTTTGCAGTTCTGACAACTGATTGCCAGACGTAGACTTTGGCCAGAGCAGCAGCTCCCTGGCACCTCTGCCCTCTCCTCACCACTACGTGCTGCTCACTCTTCTCCTCTCGCCCCACTAAAAAAGCCGTCCAGGCCTTGTTATTTCCCTCCCCACCTCCCGCTCCGTGCGGCACTACCCCGGGCTTGCTCTCTGCCTCCTGCACCTGCCTCCTGCACTGCTCCTTGCTCAGATCTGTGCCCCTTCCCTCGAGCATCCCGCTGCTGCTGGAGCCCCGGTCAGACCCGCGGCCTTCCAACAACCAAGTTCAGTCTCCCTTAAAGTCCTCACATGAAGTCCCAGCAGTGAAGTACAGGCTGATAACAGCTTCTCCACTGACAAACGAGTCTTCAGGTGAAGAAGGAAGGGAGAAATCCCCCTGTCAGGGCACCTGGGAACGAAAATGCTCTTCCCAGGGTGGAATCCCATCACCCGCATCACTCCCCTTCAGCTGCTGTTCACCCACCC